GGCCCCGCCCCCGCTCGCCGCTCTCGCCGGGCTCGGCCAATGGCGAGCCTCGGCTACCTCGGGACGAGGGCGCTGTGGACAGCTCGTGGGCCGCCCGAGGCGAGCGGAAGGACGGACGCCGTGGCGCCTGCGCGACCCGCTCTCTGCGTTGCCGCCCGCCATTTTTTTTCAGAGCTGCTCGGAGGCCCGGGAAGGAGTCCGCCCCCAGCTCCTGCGCCGAGGCCCCTCCCGGGCGGGGGCTGCGCTGCGCTGCGCTCCCGCCCCGAGGCTGCCAAGCCGCCCACACCCGCCGTTATCCGGGCGTGCTGCGCCAGCCAGCCCCGCTCCCTCCCCGCCGCGTAGCCAGAGCCTCCGACCTCGAATTGTGTTCGCGCTTTATTTACTGACGGGGTGCTTTCCCAGAACGGGGGTGAAAAGGTTGCGAGGACTGGGACCTCCCCTGCCGCGGAGCTAAACGAAACAGTGCCCGCTCCAGGCCGATTGGCGTCGTCCTGCCTCTGTAAAGCAGATCCTCTCCGAGGTGCAGGCTTTGCATAAGGCGGCAGCATTGGCTAGTTAGTGAGAACTGAGGAGCTCCACTACAAAAAGAGACTCGGCGAGGAATTAGTCTCCTCCCACAGCCCAGGACTATTTTCCGTGGTTCTCAAATGGACGTGCGAATGCATGCTAGCCGCAAGGGGAATAGTCACATGAGATCTTGACCCCTTCCCCGCTCTGCCTATCCTTGACCAAAGGCTCCTGACCTCCCACCTGCCTGCAACTTTGCACTACAAAAATGAATTCTTGCTCTTCTAGGTCATCAGCCTCAGTTATTACTCAGCTCTTCATTGGAGGAGGAAGCTTCATTTTTAACATCACCTTAGAAACGTTGAACTTGTTTGTAGTCTTGAGGGCTAGCTAGCTTGTACGTCAGCTGTCTGGAATCTATCCCAAAGGTGGCCAGGTGCGTTGCACTTCCCTGGAGGAACTTTGGTATGAATTCTTGACGGTCCTTGTGTAAATATATTAATTATAGGAAAACATCTCGTTTACTAGTCTCTGACTTACTGTATTCTCTGCAGAGCCTATTTCTAGCTTGCTTTGTTAATAAAGGCCCGATAGTCTATCTTAATATATTGGTGGTTATCTCAAAAATCTCACCAAATTTATCCATTCCCTTCTCCCTTTTCTCCCAAGCCAGTCCTTCCTGAACGCCATGCCTCTTTTCTGGGATATCTTCAGTATTTTCTTATCTTTTGGCTTCTTTCTGTTTTTTTCAAGTTTCCATTATCTTTTTTTTTTTTTTTTTTTTTTTTTTTTTTTTTTTTGGTTTTTTCGAGACAGGGTTTCTCTGTGTAGCTTTGCGCCTTTCCTGGAACTCACTTGGTAGCCCAGGCTGGCCTCGAACTCACAAAGATCCGCCTGGCTCTGCCTCCCGAGTGCTGGGATTAAAGGCGTGCGCCACCACCGCCCGGCTTTCCATTATCTTAAAAGAAAAAAAAAATCCGGGCTGTTACCTCCCTCGAGTTGCTGTACTATCAACGTTCTTTCCCTGCCACATGTCTGAAAAGAGGCAGTCACTGGTTGGGTGTGGCCATGAGGGCTCTAACTCCAGCCTTGGAAGGCTGAGGCAGAAGGATTTGGAGTGAGAGCCTGTCCAAAGGGGTGGGAGGTGGGGACAGTCTTATCCTTCCCCAGTCCCCATCCTTCTTTGAACTTTTCCCTTTTAAGTTGCTTCCTTAACTCCATACCTACGTTGTTCGCTTGTCTTCTGATTCAGTTGCTAGCTCTGTTTTTTTGTTTTGATTTTTGTTTCTTCTGTCTCACAGTTCAACCCCCATTTCTCTGCTCTTTTTGACTATATTGTTCCTCTTTTAAAGTCCCCAACTTACTGGTTCCCAGTGGTTCCTTAACGAAGATTCCTTATTTTCAGCTACTTTCCAAATAGCTCCATCGGGCTCAAAACTTAAAATAATTCCTCTCTCAATAATACTAATTTCAGCAGGTATGGGAATGTGCTGTGAGCTGTGAGCCTAGACTGTTCTGAACAGCAGCTGTGTAACTATGGGCAAATCTCTGTGCCTGTTTCCTCTCAGCTGTAAGCTGTAAATAACAATAGACTCTCATAGGGTGGCTGTATTAAACTGCACATATAGCAATGCTATCTGTATTATTGCATTGTTGCTTTTATCTTAAAATATTTTCAGGTCCCTACCCTCAAATGCTAGAGACTGAACCCAGGACTTCACAAAGTATGGATTCTATGACTGAATTGCACCCGGCCCAGAATTTATTTTTGTTGTTTTGGGGCACTTTGGATTTCCTTTAGTTGTTAGGGATCAACCCAGGGACTTGTGCTAGACCAGCATTTTGTTTGTTTGTTTGTGTTTGTTTTATATCCAAGGACATGGATAGTCAACTTTTGAGTTCACAGAAATCTGAACTTTATTTTGCTGTTACACTTTATAATTGAACTTGTGTGTATATGTACTTAGTTCCCAAAAGAAACTCCGAGCCTGATCATATTGTCATTCAATCTGCTTTCTGTTCTCCAGTGGCTACTGTTGTCTTGGCCCTTTCCTCCTACCTCCTCCCACTGTCTTACAACAGAACAATTGTGATAGGCTTTTCTTTCTTCTGTCTCTCCTTGTCTTCTCCCGTTTCTTCCCCAACCTCTCCTTTTTGAGATAGGGTTTCCCTCTGTAGCCCAGCCTGGCCTCAAACTTAACAAATCTTCTGCCCTAGCCTCACAAGAGCTGAGATTACAGGTATATAATGACACACTTGGTTGGTAATCTCCTGGACAGTCCTTTCACCTCTCTTTTCCTTTTTTTTTTATTTTATTTTATTTTATTTTTTTTTTGGTTTTTCAAGACAAGGTGTAGTTTTGGTTCCTGTCCTGGATCTCACTCTGTAGACCAGGCTGGCCTTGAACTCACAGAGATCTGCCTGGCTCTGCCTCCCGAGTGCTGCGATTAAAGGCACCTGGCCTCACCTCTCTTTTTCTACCCAAAGAAAAACTCTTTGTTTCTCTATGGCTCATATGCATATAAAATATTTAATGGTGTTCAAAGGTGACAGCTAACCTCAGTTGTCAACCTGACTGCATCTGGAATCAACAGCCAGGCATACCTATGAGGGATTTCTTAATCATTTGAGGTGGGAGAACCCATCCTAAATTGTGGCCACACCTTCTAGTGGTAGCTTTTGCTTTTTGGCTGCTTTGCCCTCACACTTGATGGCAAGTTCATCCGTTGCTAAGACTTTCCTTTGCTGTTTTTAGAATGTGTTTATTTGGGATTCCAACTAGACTGAAGACCAGTGGCTCTCTAGTAGAAATCCTCTGGAATTCCAACACCAGATTGGGACTGGTGAGACATCCAGTCTCCTGGACTGAACTACTACTAGATTCTTGCCCCTTCACTCAGGAGACAGGCGTTGTTGGGCTACCCAGCCACAGCCTATAGGCAGGCCACTCTAATAAACTCTGTAAGTGAGCGTGTGTGTGTGTGTGTGTGTGTGTGTGTGTGTGTGTGTGTGTGTGTGTGTGTGTCTGATCCCCAAGGAGGCCAGAGGAGAACATCAGATTCCCTGCAGTTATGGATGGTTGTGAGCCATGAGATAGATGCTGAAAATAGAACCTGGGTCTTCTGAAAGAGCAGCCAGTGCTCTAAACCTCAGAGCCATCTCTCCAGCTACTCTCTTATCCCCTAGAAGCAAGTATATGGGAATCATGAGAGTTCTCATTTTCTCCACTCCCTTTGTCCACTCAAGACATTTGTTATTGTTCATATTATGAAAATAAAGTTTTCCTTTTTTTTCTACTCTTGCAATTCACCACTGCTGCCAACTGGTGGCAGTAATATGTCATGCTGTCCAACCTACCAGTCCATGATTGGATTAAATCATAGTTTAAACTGTCACTTATGTTTGAAAGTCAAGCCACATTTTTTTTTTCAAAAGCGATCAGTTCCGACCCAACGTTGATAACAAGAGGAAATCAAAATACCTTACCTTTTAGAATCAGTAAGCCTGTTACAGGCAAAAACTATCACCTAAAGGTAGAGAAACAGAACTACTCAAGACATGGAAAGGAGAGGGGCATAGGAACATTCATTATAATTCTAGCACTGGGAAGGTAGAGGAAGGTGAACCTCTTGAGGTAGAAGCCAGCCTGGTCTATACAACAAGTTCCAGTTCAATCAGGGCTACAGTGAGACACTATCTCAAAAAAAAAAAAAAAAATGTTGGTGTTGCACGCCTTTAATCCCAGCACTCTGGAGGCAGAGGCAGGTGAATCTCTGCAAGTTCAAGGCCAGCCTGGTCTACAGAGCAAACTCGAGGACAGCGAAGGCTACACAAAGAAACCCTGTCTCAAAACACGCACGCACGCACGCACGCACGCATGCACACATACACACACACACA